CCTCCCTTTTTTCTGTTCCCGAGCAAATAGCTTTAGGTCCTCTTAAATTTTTCAGCCTCTCTGATTTGGTTTTTGTTTTCTGCCCGCTTTGTATATGTAATGAAATCTCTGCCTTTTCCTTTTTCTTTTGATTCATCAGGTAGTCTTTGGACAACATCATATTTTATTCCGGTTGGTCATTTTCCGTGGAATACAAGTTATAATTTGTACGATGGATATGATATCTTGCTAATCTTCCTATTTTTGTGCAGTTGCCCATAGTAGGCAGCCACAAAACGGTTTATTCATCACACGTTGGTGAAAATATCAAATACTTGAGCCATGATTGCCAAATAAAAACATTGCGATATTCATATTGTAATTTTTTTCTTCCTGTTTTCTCCATTTATTCATTTGTCCATTCATCTGTTTGCTTATTTATTTGTATTCCTTTACATTTCCTATCATTTAGTACTTCATATTGTTACATTCATGTTTCATTAGTCTTTCTTACCTTTTTTTTTCCTTCATTTTTTTCTCCCTAGGCCTATTTGTTTATTCATTTGCTTATTTATCTATCTATATTTCTTCAGAATCCTTACGTTTACTACTTTATATCTTCACTATTGCATCCTTTACTGCCCTTCACACTTATTTGATGGATATTTCACGTTTCATATTTAAGAAATAAAAATATCTATTCTCCACATGCTTTTAAAATACAAATACAACATTATACCGTAATCAAATTGAATATTCTCTTATGTCTATAAGCATGATTGTTCATTGACAAGGTATATCACATGTTAGAAATGAGAATTAAAACAATGGCCAACAACCAAGAAAAAATATTATGGCATCCGTATTTTGACACCTCCTCGTGGGATCGACCGTCCTAATTGTGCTACAATTGACCGCTTTTTTTGTACACGTTTGGGCGTATCAGCCACATGCCCCTACACCTCTTTGTACCTGGGCGTGTGGCCTCTTGTGGTCCCATCATAGTGTATTTCAAAATGGATTTAATTAAATAATCATATTATTTATTTTGAGTAATATTAAATCCTAATAATTCACCTTGTCTCGGAAATATTACAAGGATGATTTGGGGACTCATGGACCTATAATTCTGAGCTCCAATAAAATTTATAATTATTAAACTCTTTAATTAATTAATTAATCCTATTAATTTCAAAAGGTACTCCACTAAAAACTTGGAATTACACTCAAAATTATAGACAGAATTTACTTCTAAGAACTTAGTGTCCATTTGATATAGTCACTACATATAGATCAATTCTCCATGAATAATTCATAATTAGAGTCGGGTAATCTTTATCCTTGAGTGCCACTGATTCTTTAATGAATAATATATTCATAAAATACATTCATGAATACGAGCTCGTTACTTATTCAAGTATTGAATTAATTCTCAAGTGAATTATTTATCTACTTCTTCAAGGAAGAAGGAATGGATTCCATATCGTGTATTAGCATTCCCGCCTATTCATTTCGTCATGTTTCCAAAATACAAGGGATAAGATTTAGAATATCAAAATCCATACCGAGTAAGTCCAAAAATACAAATCCATAAATAAGAGTCTACTAATAACTCAGGATTAAGATCATTCTACACATGACCATCTGTAGACTCAAATTTAATTTTCTATACTTAACGGAAATTATCAGAATATCAAATTATGTATGTGTGCCAAATCTAAATAATATAATTATACAGAATACACTCATTAAATATCTCTCTATATTAATGATGCAGTTAACACAATTTCATTCTTAATGGAAATGACGTGTATTAGTAATGTTTTAATTAAAGATTCCGTAACTTTAATTAAATTCATTATGAACATTATTCGATTATTATTTTTAAATATTATCCTCTTGTATATAACACTTACATAAAATATTTAAGGTCACATAAATATTCACAGAATTTTCAATGATATTCATAAAGTATTCAAGAATATAGGAAGGAAGAAGAGTAGGAGGAGAAATTCACACACACCACGGATACTCATACCCAGAAATCAACCCAACTCTTAGAACCAGCTAGATTATCCTCATCTATTACTATTCCCAACTCTTGTAAAAAATTCCTTGCCTCCAAAATAGAAAACCTAGTAGAATATTCTTACATTCGTGAAACTGTCATAGTAGAAGAGTCAATTCCTCCTTTGTTAAGTCCATACAATATTTTTGAAATACATTGTCGTACTATTAGACAACTTATCATTAATACCAGACCTGCCATTAGAGAATACATACAGTCATGCAAGTTAGATAAGTGTCTTATTCCCATTACCACCCAAGAACAATATGTTGACCTGGAAATACCACAAGAGCTCATCTCCCGATGGATTGTTGATACATTGGATTTATGCTTATCTTTTGATACATCTAATTGAGTGTTTTGTTGGTTTTAGAGTAGTTGTAGTAGTTAATTTACATAATTTTAGTTGGTTTTGCATATTGGCATCATTCGGAGTTTGTAGGTGAGTGTTGGAGTAATTTTTGGAGCTAACTTGAGATTGGAGAGCCTCGGCCTTGAAAGATGGCGTCTAGGCCTTAAAATGATTCATTTGCAGTACAAAAACCCGAGAGAAGAGAGCCTAGGCTTTGGCTCTACTTCGAAGCATCGCGTGGATAGGCTATTTTTCAGGTAAGGGCCACAGCGCCCAAATAGTAGGGCCACGGCACTACTTCGAATCTTTGCCAATATGAGTGTTGTGGAGTTCTAAAGTTTATGATAATGCCATTACGATTCAAAACACTATAAATAGGATTTTTAGGGTTATTTTCTACATCTTTTTAACTAAGAAAAAGAGAGAAGACGGCTCTACGAAGGAGAAGAGGATTCGTTTGAGAACGAAGTTCAACTTCAAATTTGCCAAATCATTTTACTCTTTCCTGAATTTCTTATGTTAAATTTTATTGTCATTATGTTTTCTTTTTCAATGATGTTCTAAATTTCTAGACTAGGGCTACAAGTGTAACCAAGACATGAATATTTGAATTCCATTATTTTCTTTCAATGAAGTTTATTCACTGAGAGTTTTTCATTCATGTATGTGTTTATTATTTTTAATACTTTCAATAAATTGATCACTTATTGAATTGAATTGAAAACCTAAATTGAAACCCAGAAGGAGATTTTTAGGAATAGTTTCTAATAAAAGGAACTGTAAGGTGCATAGGACATTGATAGATAGCATTATGACTTGCGAGAGCAATTTTAGAAAAACTAAAGAACTTAATGAATTTTTATGATATCTTGATTCACATCTAGTGATGTGAATTTACATGTTAGAAATATTTTTAATAGCATCCTCAAAAGGGCTATTAGATAAATTAGGGTTTTTTCATTCTACTACATGAATGGGAGGCGATGTTAGCGAATAATTAGAATTAAATAGGAATTGTCTTAGTGAAACTTGTATGCTCTAGTGTTTCCTTTGCATTGATCTCTTTTCATAATTATTTTGCGTATAATTAGTGTTATTTTATTTTACTTTCTTTTCAGTTTTGATCTATCTCAGAGATTTTATTTGTCTAGATAAAGTTAAAAATATTAATTTCAGTAATTGTTAAGCTAGTCTCCGTGGGAACGATATCTTATTCACTCATTATATTATTTGTGTGATTCGTACACTTGCGAAAAATCACATCAAGTTTTTGGCGCAGTTGCGAGGGACTAGCATTAACAATATTGATACTAAGTATTTTTAATTTTAATTTAAACTCTTACGTTATTTTATTTTCTTGCAATTTGTCAGGTGTCTTATAGTGCATGCTATGATCTAAAAGTCTTGCAGTCTTTGATCTTGAGATTGAGCGGACTTTCAGAAGATGTAATCAGGAAAAGAAGAAAGAAAAGCTTGTGATTGTTGATATGGCAGAAAGAGAACCTGACATAAAGGCTGTGGGGGATTATTCTACCCCCGATGTTATAGGGATACCATCAAGCATTGCTACTCTGGCTATTCAAGCCAACAACTTTGAATTGAAGCCGGTGATCATATCCATGATTCAAAACTCTTGTCCGTTGGGTTTGCCTAGTAAAGATCCTAATGCTCATATTGCACGTTTCTTGCAGTTGTGTGATACTATGAAGTTTAAGGAGTCTCAGATGATGCTATAAGATTAAGACTGTTTAGCTTCTCTCAGAGACAACGCTTGGAGTTGGCTTTACTCTCATCCCCCAAATCACTTCACCACTTGGAATGATCTTGCTCAGAAGTTCTTGGCTAAGTACTTTCCTCCATCCAAGACCATTCAGATGAGAAATGAGATTACTAATTTTGTACAACATGATAGGGATACTTTATCAGAAGCTTGGGAGAGATTTCAAGAGTTGTGCAGGAGATGTCCTCATCAGGAGGTGCAAAGATGGATGCAAATTCAGTATTTCTACAACGGTCTAGATATGAGCAATGCAAAATTGGTGGATGTTGCTACAGGAGGTGCATTAATGAGAAAGACTGTTGATGTGGCTTTTAATCTTCTAGATGAGATGGCTGCAAATGATTACAAGTATTTGAAAGAGCGAACTATGGTGAGAAAAACTACAGGGGTAGTTGAGGTTGATGCTTTGACGGCTCTAACGAGCCAAGTGGCTGCTTTGGTGAAGAAACTGGATACTAGAGAGGTGAATTCGGTGCATATTCCAACTCCTTGTTGTGAATATTGTGGAGCCAATCATGAAAATGGGAGTTGTTTGTCTGTGGTAGAGCAAGCTAACTACATGGGGAACTTCAATATGTAGCAATCGAACCCCAATTCAAACACCAGGAATCATCCAAAATTTTCTTATAAGAACACTCAGAATGTCTTGAACCCACCTCTAGGGTTTATGTAAGAAGAAAAGAAGAGTTTGTTGGAAGATATATTTTCTCAATTCATATTGACTACTAAGCAACACATAGATGATACTAAGCAATACATGACTAAGACAGACACCTTGTTGAGTACTTCAAGTGGCAGCTATCCGAAACTTCGAAGTGCAAATGGGCCAATTGGCAAGTTCTAGTTCATCAAGGCAACTAGGTTCTCTTCCAAGTGATACCATTCCTAATCCTAAAAAGCAGTGTAAGGCTATTTTTACAAGGAGTGGTTTGCAGCTACAAGATCCACCGGTGAGGTCGAGTATAGAAAAGAAGCAAATGATTGACGATGAAGATGCAAGTGGGAATGTAAGGGAGGAGATTGAAAAGCAGGAGTTGCCGGTCGAAAAGCACAAGCCAGGAATTCCATTCCCCCAACAGTTAAAGAAAAAGAATCGGGTTCACCAATTTGCTAAGTTTTTAGAGGTATTCAAAAAGATTCACATCAACATTCCATTTGCGGAGGCCTTAGCTCAAATGCCAACTTACGTGAAGTTTATGAAGGACATCCTCTCTGACAAGAGGAAGTTGGAGAATTTTGAAACAGTTGCCTTGACTGAGGAGTATAGTGCCATCATGCAAAGGAAGTTGCCACCAAAGTTAAAAGATCTAGGTAGTTTTACCATTCCTTGCACTATTGGTAATTCGTATTTTGGAAAGGCACTATGTGACCTTAGAGCAAGTATAAACCTCATGCCATTGCCGGTCTTGTTGGGATTGGTGTCCTAGAAGCATGAGATGTGATAAGATATTTATTATTTATTTAATAAAAGAACTTATTCATTATTTTATGTGCATATATTTAGGAATATTTTATGAATATCAATAAAAATTTCATGATTATTTATGTGACCTTAAACATTGTATATAAGTGTTATATGCGAGAGGATAATGTTTAAGGATAATAATCAAAATGGTGTCGCAGTGAATATTAGTTAAAGTTTGGAGTCTTTAATTAAAACATTATTAATACACGTCATTCTCATTTAGAATGGAACGGTGTTATCCACACTGTTAATATGGCGAGATATTGAATGAGTGTATTTCGCATAATGAGATTATGTGGAACAAGGACACATACACAATATGAATTTCTAATAATTTATGTTAAGTATAGAAATTCTAATTAAGTCTACCGATGGTCATATATAGAATGATCTTAATCCTGAGTTCTTAGCAGATTCTTATTTATGGATTTATGTCTTTTGATTTACTCAGTACGGATTCTGAGATCCTGAATCCTATTCCTTCTATTTTAGAGACATGATTAAGTAGGTAGTCGGGAATGTTATTATACGAGTTGGAATCCATTCCTTCTTGAGATAGACGTAGATAAATAATTCTCTTAAGGGTTGATTCGATACTTGGACCAGTAAGAGCTCCAATTCATGAATGTGTTTTATGAATCACTGTCCATTAGAAAATCAATGGTACTCAAGGATAAAGATGTAATTAAAGAGCTTAACGGATTTCACCTAGCTCTAATTATGAATTACGTATGGAGGATTGATCTATATGCAATGACTACATCACATGAACACTTCACGGTTTAGAAGTAATTTATATCTATAATTACGAGAGTGCAATTTTAAGTTTACAGTGGAGTAACTATTGGAATTAATAAGATTAATTAATTAATTAAAGTGTTTAATTAATTATTAATTTTATTAGAGCTCAAAATTATAGGTCCATAAGTTTGTAATTTTATTTCCACAAGACACTAAAGGGCAAAATAGGAATTTTTGAATTATAGAATTCTAAAATCAAACACTCAAGGATAATTAATTGAGAATTAATTACAATTTAAATAATGTGATTATTTAAATTTAAATTTAAATTTTGGATCACTTATGTGAAGGTGTTCACATAGTGTGAACACAGCTAGAATTATCCATTTAAACTTATTTGATAAGTTTTTCAATTTAGAATTCAATTAATTTAAGTTTGACTTAAAATTTGAATTTGAATTTGAGTCAAAATTGGACAGTAGGATAAAAGATGATTTTCTCTTCCTTCCCTATTTGATATTGGCGCCTACCACAGGGATAAAATCCGCTATCTTAGCCGGCCATTAGTGGATAAAGGAGAGGGAGAATTTGTTCCCAATTCAAATAGGAGATAATTGATAAGCTTTATATTGGAGATAAAGATGAGACTTTTTCTAGGAGTCTAACTACTATTTTATAAATAAGGAGATAGTAGAAAATTGTGAGACAATTTTTAGAAACAATTTTTGAAAATAAAAAAATTGACACAATTTTGAGACAAATTTTTAACACAATTTTTGCTCTTATTTATTTTAGAATGGCCGGTTTTCACAAGGGTTGTGAGAGGAAGAATTTTCTCTAAAAATTCCACGTCGCGCATGCGTTGGTGTTCATGGAAATTCTTCAGTTTTTTGTTAACCTGTTTTGTTTCAGGTGTGCCCACACACACGTCTTCATAGATTTAAAGAATTGACGAGAAATGCTCAGGTTTTCTAAACAACGCATTAAGGCGAGGATTGTTCGAGGTCAAAGAACTCAAGTTATCATCCTAATCGGTCGCTAGGTATAATTCCTATTCGAGTTCTTAATTAATAAATTAATGTGATTAATTTATTGGTGCATAATTAATATAATCTATAAAGTATCTCAAAGGTTTTATGAAAATTTTTGTTATACACGATCCGCTACCCCCACGCTTCCACATCTGAATTCGATTCAGTAACCAACAATTGGTATGAGAGTGGTCTATGGACGATATTAATTTATGCTCTGGTTATTTGATAATCAAAATTAATATGTTAAATATGTTATATTTAATTATGTATGTATGTGATCGGTAGGCACTAGCATTTATGGATGTTTTTATTTAATTCATGTTGATGAATGTATGAATGATGAATTTGGTCGTTAATTATATGGTTCCATGGATCGCATTAAATTCGTTCAAATTAAATTATTTATAATTTTATTCAGGATTAGAATTATTGTAATTCTAGGATTTGGATGGATTAGGGTTTTAATTTTGAGTCAAAAGAACCCTGGAAAAATCACCCCACACAACCCTAGACAGCCAGCAAAGAATATGCCCAAACAATCCTAGCAGGGCGCGCCCAACACTCGCCTAGAGAGCCCCGTGCGCGCACCCAGAGCGCGTGCCCAGACAGTCTGCGCGTGCACCCAACACGCGCGCCCAGATAGCCGACGCGCGCACCGAGTGCGCGCGTCAAGACCATCCAGCGCTCGGCTAGCGCGCGCCCAAACTAGACCAAAGCGCGCCAGGAGTAGTCAACAGACTCCGAACGAGCCCGAGGGTTTCTAAAACCCTTGTTTTGTGTGTCGAAGGACCTGGAAGAGTTACGGACCCCGAAGAAGGTGAAATCTGACCCGAAGATGAAGAACGAAGCCAATGAATGAAAAATTCAAGAATCGAAGACCCGTTGATGTAATGGAAGAAAATAATTATTGTAATTATTTATTTATTCAATTTGGTTGTAATTTATATTTTCTATGGTACCCGGTCAAATTCCATCTCAATAGTCGATTGCATATATTTATATTTTACGTTGATAATTATATATTACAGTCCATGCATATAACATGTCATATAGATATAGTGTGCCTACTCATATATTTTATAACATGTCATGCATACATGTGCATTTATTATTATTTATTTTAAAAGAGTTTTAAAAGGATAAAGTAAAATAATAACCATGCACTAAATCAATTTAATACGATTAAATTGATTTAAGTTGTAAAATTGATTTGCAACATAATGTTGCATTTGAAATTGAATTTAAGAGTTAAATTTTGGAATTTCACATATTTGAAAAATAAATTATTTATTTATCAGGATTTGAAAACCATTAGATGTTTGTCAAATAAAATACATATTTGTAAAATAATGAGTGGGAGAGGGTTGTATGACAGTATGACCCACTGGTCTCTACCGTTAGCGCAACACCGTGAGATCTAGAGAGGGGCTTTGCCGTGGCATTGATTCGCCCTCCCAAAGGAAAGTGTTCTTGCTGGATCAATAACAAGGTTGGCTTCCTAGAGATAAGATTTCAGGATGTATTTTTGGATTGACTACCCAAAGATAGCAATCCGTAGTTAAGTCTATAGGATCTGAAACGGTTGGTTACACTTATGAAGATGTAATCAAAGTTTGTTGGTTATATTTTGACTAAAATAACGGTAGTTAATAAATATGAAAATATGAGATATTTTGACTATATTTATTAACTGAGAGGAGTCTCGGTTCAGTTTACAAATAATTTGACTACCTAAAGGTACACTTCATTTGTGGTAAATTAGATTATCGTTGGCAATTAAAATTAAAACATGACTTATGTATTTTTCATGTGCGTCATGCATCATATTTAATTGTGCCTAAAAATTACATGTTTTGATATTCTTGCACATAAATTGATTAGATTAATATTCTACTTATTTCCAACAATATGTCAAATCTTATAATCTCACTACACAAAACTGAAACACTAACTAGATATAAACTATGTGAAGTGGTAAAGTAACGTAAACAACCTACATTCATGTGATGAATATAGGTTTGTCCCAAATGGAGGATTGTCCTGTTCCTAATGAAACCACTGTAGCTAACTGTTAGCTAGGGTTGTGGGTGGTAATTCACAAGAAGCATGAAGGCATGGAGACATCTTATGAGATAATGTAGTCATCAGATACCGTATATGGAAATCCATAAAAGAAAGGCTTGGCTAAATACTGTAAGGGTCCTGACCAATAGACAAAAGGAAAGTCATTTCCACCGAAATAAAGGAAAAGAATCAAGCAAATACGATTTGCTAGTTCTGAAAACATGTTTAGTAAAGCGTGATTCCTATTCCTAGATAGTTGATTTGGGAGTAATTAATCATGTTTTGTTTTCTTTATTAAGTCTTAGCTCTTACAAGGAATTTGTTTCCCAAAACAAAGAAAGGAACTCAAGCAAATATGATTTTCTAGTTCTAAAAACTTATTTAGTAAAAAAGTGATTCCTTATCCTGGATAGTAGATTCGGAAATAACTAATCATGTTTGTTTTCTTTATTAAGTTTTAACTTTTAAGTGGAAATTGTTTCCACCTAAACAAAGAAGTAGAATCAAAGTAAATAAGATTTACTAATTCTAGAAACATCTTTAGTAAGAGAGTGATTCCTCGTCTTGGATAGTTGATTCGAGAGCAACTAATCTTGTTTGGTTTTCTTCACAAAATATTAGTCCATAAAAAGAACTTGCCATTAGGGACTACACGATGGTGGGAATACCGTGAAGGTATTGGCAAAAGCAGTGGGAGAAGCTAGACTTCAGTTCTGGAACAATGTTTATTTGATTTCCCTCCAGTTCTAGAATTATCCATTTAAACTTATTTGATAAGTTGTTCAATTTAGAATTCAATTAATTTAAGTTTGACTTAAAATTGGAATTTGAATTTGAGTCAAAATTGGACTGTAGGATAAAGGATAATTTTCTCTTCCTTCCCTATCTGATATTGGTGCCGACCACAGGGATAAAATTCCCTATCTTGGCTGGCCATTAGTGGATAAAGGAAAGGGAGAATTTGTTCCAAATTCAAATGGGAGATAATTGGGTAAGCTTTATCTTGGAGATAAAGATGAGACTTCTTCTAGGAGTCTAACTACTATTCTATAAATAAGGATATAGTAGAAAATTGTGAGACATAATTTTTAGAAACAATTTTTGACCTAATTTTTGAAAAACT